GCATGATTGACAGGTCCACTTCTAAATATTTATTGGATGATGCTGAGTATGATATGAAGAATTATGCAGAGAAGGAGAATTATATCCGCCCGAGCCGCAGATTTTAGCGGATATCACTCACAGAGGTCTGCATAATTGTTCAGTCGTATCTCACCAGAACCGAATTCAATAATAATTTCTGTTACTCATTTGGAATATTCCCACGGCTCTAAAATAGATAAGCTGTACTTAAGTTTAGTATGCAAAATTCAAAACATGCCGAACAATTTTCGCAACGTTTTGCGCTAATAAACGAATCGAATTTTATGAATTGTAAAAGTCAATGAATTTTTCCTTATTTCTGCGTAAAATGTCTTTAGAGCAATTGCCATTTCTTCTTCAAGAGAAAATTTGGAGGAAAAAAACTATTGTTTTTTGCAGTCTACATTGTTTCAGCTATTTGAAGCAGCTATGCCGATCTAAAAATGTTCTAATTTGTACAAATATCCTGTGAAAAGCTTCTCGAAAAGCCGTGTTGAAGGCGGCATAGACAAACATGTTAAGAGCTGCATTAAGGTATATCATACACACAGCAGTTGTAGACAAGTAAGGTGAGATAGAAACTTTGCCTAATGTCTCAATAAGATCTATAATTGTTATAGGAGCGACGAGGATGAGGAACAAACACACCAACACCGCCACCATCTTCACGATTTTTTTCTGTGCTACTGTAAAATCTCTCTGTACTCGTGTGCCGTTTGATTGGTCCAAGTTAACTTCCACGCTCATATGCAAGTCGTGGATTGTCCTCATTTGTCGATGACTTACCTTTATCAAATAACAATTTATGGGAACAACTACCAAGATTGGAACTGAGCAGAATGCTATTGTAAAAGTTATGACAGCAGCTTGGGAAAGTGTAGTTGATAAAAGACAAATTGTGGATGATTTTGCTACGAGTTCTTCAGTGTTCTCATCTTTTTCATGGCGAATGCCAACACCGCTGATAAGAGAAATGGCAAATATTCCCATTGCACACCAGCAAACAGCGACTGCAATTAAAACTGTTCTTTTTGACGCGTTTCTTTCATACCAGTATGGAAATCTCACCGCAATATATCGCTCAAACGTTAGCAGCACAATATTCAGTCTTGACAGACCGTCAAATAAAATCGTGAAAGCCACGACCACGTCACATGAAACCAAATCTCCCAGCAATCGAAGTGGAATGGCAACAGTAGCGACAAAGAAGTCGGAAACGGCCAAACTGAGAACGATGTAGTTTGTCCTCGTCCTTAAGTTCTGGTTGGTAAATATCGAAAAAATAACCATTGCATTCGTCAAAGCTCCTGTTAGAGAGATACAAGCCATGAACGCGATAAATACAGTTTTTCC